AATTCCTGGGTCCCTGATCCTGTTACATTCTATGAACTAACTAAGCAACTGAAAGTATCAATCCACATGGATCCAACCACTAAAGGAGCTTATGTTCTTTGAACCTCAAGTTCAAATGGCTCTCATGCCATACAGCTACCCAAGTCCCTTATCTTTGATTGTCTACATGCCTGTAGACCCCACAGAAGAGCAGGGTGATCTCTCCAATGCTGATAGCAAACTCTTTGGATACTCAATGCCTTCATAGTTATTGCCACACTTCCGTGAGACCTATCCTTAGGAAAGAACTTGATAAACTCATTCACTTACAGGTGATAGACACCAGTAAAAGCTGCGATTTCCACCCCCTTGGAAGATTTAAGCTGATGATTTTGTACCTTAGTGCTAGCTGTTAATTCCTAACTTGTGGTTGACTAACCCACACCTTCTTCTCTGGGCCCTGCATATTTTGTATTTTTATCATGCTCTTTGGGGGTCCCAGTAGAGGGATAAAGAGATTTCTAGTTGCAGACAGATTCTTACTTTATGTGTTCTTGAGTTAAAGAGTTCTATTGTAAAGGATAACTTTACTAACAGAAAATTATTGGGCACCTACTGGGGCAAGGCAGTGTTCTAGATGCTAACGGTGAAAAAGACAGATGAGTTCCTGCATCCCTGGGTTTACATTCTAGATCAAGAAAATGGAAAATAAACAAGTTAACAAATAAGTGAAGAACATAATTTCCAAAGGCAAGAAGTGCTGGGTGATCTGAAGTAGAGTAACTTAGGAGCCAAGTTAGATGTGTTCCTCAGGGAGAGCCTCTCTAAGGAGGTGCCATTTGAGCTAACTGAACAGGAAGGAGCCAGCTCTGGAATGTGAGGGAAGAGCATTCCGTCTGAGAGAAGGGCCTGGGTAAAGCTCTGGAGTCAGAGGTGGACTTAGTGTGTTCAGAAACAAAGGCCTGTGTGGCTAGATGTGCATGTCCTTGAGAAGAACAATCTTAGGGGAGGGTTGGGGGCAGGTGGCAGACTGTGACGACATCCTTAGTTCTCTGGAATTGTTTTATGATGAAGGGAAGCAGGTAAATGGGCTGGAAACTGGAGGGGGTCATCAAGTTCAAGGGAGGAATCTGTTGTGGTGATCTGGTTTGTGTGTGGACTTTTTTTTTTTTTTTTTTTTTTTTTTGAGATAGAGTTTCATTCTTGTTGCCCAGGCTGGAGTGCAATGGTGCGATCTCGGCTCACCACAATTGCCGCCTTCCGGGTTCAAGTGATTCTCCTGCCTCAGCCTCCCGAGTAGCTGGGATTACAGGCATGCGTCACCACACCCGGCTAATTTTGTATTTTTAGTTGAGATGGGGTTTCACCATGTTGGTCAGGCTGGTCTCAAACTCCCGACCTCAAGTGATCCGCCCGCCTCAGCATCCCAAAGTGCTGGGATTACAGGCATGAACGAGCGCAGCTGGCCAGGTGTTCTTATGGAAGCGGGGTGGATGTTGATAGGGATGATCAGCACACGTTCCTATGTGAGAACTCCCAACCATGACCCTCCTACCCTCTGCGGAAGGGCCAGGGAACTGATAAAGACCCCCACCTACTGCTCCTTCATCCCTGCATGCTGCCTATGCTGGCAGACACTCAGAGAAGACTCTCAACCCCCAATTCGTGCTGACTGCACACCACCTTGAGCTGCAGTAGATACTGGGGTCGTCTTGGAGCCCCAGTCCTTCCAGCCTGCTCTCTGCCGAGACTTTCCCAGCTGAATCCCATTATGTCTACATGTCCTTACCAACCTGGTCAACCCCAGGAGTTCAAGCCACCCAGTCCGTTTCCCAGATCTCACCCAACACAGCTATGTACATCCTAACCTGGCTTAGGTTCTACCCATGTCTTCCAACCCTCTAAACCCTTCCACTTAGGCACACTGGAAATCAACACAGCTCCTACTGCTTCAGCAACTTCCCTGCATGCTTTTCTCCTCTTCTCATATAACTGAAGCCCATTTGCTCTGAGGACTTGCCACCCTGTCAGGTGGAGGTTATTTTATCTCCCACATCTCCTAAACCAGTGGGTCTGGAGGTGAGATGGGGCTGTCTTGTTCCCATTACTACTTCCAGACCAATCTCCTCTCTCCTTCAGAGTCCTTAGCTATTGAGGACCTAGACCTCAATCACTTCCTCTCCACGGTATAGACCGTCACAATCTGGGTGGCCTCCCAGTGTCTTAGCCCCCTTGACTCCCTCACTTATCTCAGCCTTCCTCTCCCATAGTCCTGCCCCCAGACCATGCCATTACCAGAAACTGCCCCATCTCTGGAATCTGGACAGCAGGCACCTCACTGTCTGAGCTCCTATCTTTCGAGCTCTCTTATTCTCCAAAAATGCTTTGTTCTTAGGGAGACCTGCAATCCATTCATTGACCCCACCACATTCTCCCACTGTCCTTCACCTTCCTCTTTCGTTATTACCCTTCTCACCAGCTTCAATTTCATGACTCACCATTATCATTAGTCACCCCTTGCCCACTTAAGTCCACTACCTCTCTCTCCCTTTATCGTACTTGCTTGGCAAAACCCCAGCAATGATTAAACCCAACCTCTGACTCACTCTATGCTTGCACCAGAGCCCACAAACATTGATGAAGAATGTCACACCACGGTGCTGCTCACTGCATGCGCGTTAAATTCATGACCACAGCACTGCCCAAGCATCCTAACAAAATGTCCTCGTTCGCTCATTTCCCCGCTCTCTACAATTTCCCCTTGGTCCTTAATTCTCCATTACTCCCCACCCAAACTTTTAGCTTGTTTCACACTTCATTAAGACAAAGCTAATAGAAACAATGGGTAGGAAACCGGGTGCAGTGGCTGACGTCTGTAATCCTAGCACTTTGGGAGGCCGAGGCGGGCGTATCACCCGAGGTCAGGAGTTCGAGACCAGCCTGGCCAACACGGTGAAGCCCCATCTCTACTAAAAATACAAAAATTAGCTGGGTATGGTGGCACATGCCTGAATCCCAGCTATTCGGGAGGCTGAGGCAGAAGAATCGCTTGAACCTGGGAAGCAGAGGTTGCAGTGAGCTGAGATGGTATCATTGCACTCCAGCCTGGGTGACAAGAGTGAGACTTAGTCTTAAAAAAAAAAAAAAAAAAAGGGGGTAGGAGGTAGAAATGCCATCCTTTTCCTGCCTGCATTTGTTCCCATTTTCTGCTTTACTGCTTGTTACAGTGGATGAAGTGTCCTCACTCGTGAAGACCCATTCCTTCATTTGTGTTCTGGAACCTGTTGCCTGCTTCCTCCCAGTGGATTTCGTTCCTGCCGACCCCGCCTTGCCCCTCTAGCATTAGAATCATCAGTTTGTCATCTCTACTGGACCATTCAAACATCCCCTATAATCTCAAACAGGGATTAGCAAACTCTGTAAAGGGCCAGATAGCAAACATTTCAGGCTTGATGGGCCACATGGTCTCTGTCGATCGGCTTTGTGGTTGTAGCAGGAAAGCAGCTATGGATAATGTGTATAAATGAATGGCCATGGCTCTGATCCGATAAGACTTGATTTACAAAACAGGTAGCATGAGAATGAATTTGTTCCATAAGCCATAGTTTGCCTAATCAAGTGTAGTATGTAGCCTGTTACTGGGTTAAACAACCATGTGCTCTGTCAATAAAATTATGATGGAGGCTGGGTGCGGTGGCTCACGCCTGTAATCCTAGCACTTTGGGAGGCCCACGTGGCAGACTGCTTGAGCCTAGGACTTTGAGACCAACCTGGGCAACATAGTGAGACCATGCCTCCACAGACAATAAAAAAAATTAGCCAGTCGTGGTGGCGTGTGCCTGTGGTCCCAGCTAGTCAGGAGGCTGAGGAGGGAGGATCACTTGAGCCCAGGAGGTCAAGACTTCAGTGAGCCAGATAGCTGGCAGGGAGGGAGGTGAGAATGTACAGGGTCCAGGGTGATTTTTGACCTTCAGACATCGATTGCATAATCAATGTTCATTGATTATTGTGCTTTCATTGGGTCACAGCACAGACACGCACAAATCAGCCAGCTCTTCCCTGACTATGGTGGTGGCCTAGTCCATTTGGGCTGCTATAACAAATATGTTTTTATTTTCATGAATGTTTTGTGCATGTCCATAAGTTATTTTGGATATAAATGGCAAAATATAGGAGATAGCCGTGTCCTATTTTTATTATTGGCTGTTCAATTGGCTGTTTCATTTTTTCCATTATTTCTTTTAAAAAACACTTGAACAGTTCTTTCCAAAATTGGTGGAGATTCTGCTATCTCTCACGTGATGATCACAACACCTGGATTAGGGGTTGGACTCCAGATGAGATCTGTGACTGTTCGGTTCCCTGGGATAGGGTTGGTTTTGTGTGTGTGTGTGGTGTGTGTGTGAGAGAGAGAAAGTGTGTGTGTACATGTGCAGGGGTGCTCTGCAAGGGTCTCACCCAACAAATAAAACAGCCTTCATTTTTAGCCCATAATTACAGTCTGCATGCAATAGTTAATGCAAGGTTGCCTTTAAAGACATTCTCATACACTCTAGACAGCTCTCTTTTACTTAGCCATTTCAGAGCACAGATTAGGAAAAGCTTCACTGAAGTCCCTTTGGTTGAATATGTTCTCTGCTTGGGGAAACCATGGCCACTATGAATAGAACCCTGTTTGCTGCCTCTTGTCACTCTCCAATAGTATCTCCAGGGCTAAGACACTATGGTAGAGAGTTGACATGTCTTCTCTTCTGTGATGTCTCGACCTGCTGAGAACAATTGGTGCAGGTATCCCAGGGCCTGAGTTAATCCAGGATCCGTCTCATCTCTAGGTAGTTAACCTGGGGTCCTCTGCACTCTGCCCTTGCAGGGGTAGTGAATGTCAACACTCTTTCTGCCCTACCATGCCTGGCCACTGGGAGTATAACTGATTTCTTTTCTTTATCATATCCCTTCTGGAATAACTAAAAGATTTCAAAAAGAACTCAAAACTGAGACACAATAAACACACACACAAATTGTGGCATTTACAATTTTAGATTATTAGATTGTTGAGTCTCTGTGTGCCCAAAGACCTGTACAGAGGGCTTTGGAGGAGTCACAGTAGGCCAGGAGTCAGAGCGGACGGTTTCTCAACCCAAGAGACAGGAGGTCAAACCTAAAAGAGAAGAAAAGCCAAGGATGATGTTAGAAAAAAAGAACAAAAACAGAAGGGAGCCTGGGAGGGGCCCAAACTAAGGTGTCTTGAAGGAGATATCAAAATTAGAGCTTGAGTGGGGCTTAAAGAGTCAGAAGTAAAACCAACGCATCTCAATCTGTAGCATCTTGTGAAAGGTAAACCTGGCTGGCACAGTTTTGGGGAGTACAATGCTTTTCTTTGGCTTCAGGAGACCCCCTTTCCCAACTCCTTCGACCTTCAAACATCGATTGCAGAATCAATGTTCATTAATTATTGTGCTTTCATTGGGACACAGCACAGACACGCACAAATCAGCCAGCTCTTCCCTGACTATGGTGGTGGCCTAGTCCATTTGGGCTGCTATAACAAAACACCTTAAACTGGGTGGCTCATAAATAACAGCAATGTGTATCCCACAGTTCTGTGTACCGAAAAGTCCGAGATCAAGGAACCAGCAGGATCAGTGTCTGGTGAGGGCCCATTTCCTGGTTCACAGATGGTGCTTCACATGATGGAGGGGGCAAGGCAGCCTCTTTTATGAGGTTCTCCCTCCATGACCTAATAAAGTCCCAAAGTCCCCACCTTCTTACACCATCACATTTGTGATTAAGTTTCAACATATTAATTTGGGGAAGACACAAACATTCAGAACATAGCTGGTGAGCAAAGGCCGAATCCCCCTTGGGGCATGGACCAGGGGATTGAGAACATTTGGAAAGGGAGAACTGGAGTGAACAAGTCATGTTGAAGGGTGAGTGAGTGCCCATAGGCCACCATCCTGTGAGTAGCATGGCAGTGGACAGGCACACAGGAAGAAACTGGCAGGTCTTTCCAGTGGTGATGTGAAACTCAAAGCCATTGGAAAGATGGCCATGTGTTCTGAAAATGAATCACCAGGGAGAAAGGAAACTCTTCCACCCAGACATATGAGATACCTCTCACCTTCCCAATTATGGCTGATATTTGGGAGTCAGTTCCCCCCTCCACTGCCCCCCGTGGGGGAGAAGTCATGGTGATTTTGAACCTTGGAGGAAAAGAATAAAGCCATTACGGAGAAAGCTGGGTGTATGAGTAGATTATAGGCCTGCATGGTGGCCTGGTCACAGATTGCTCATACCTCAAATATCCTGAGTAGGAAAGGAAGGAGCAAAAATGGAATGATGATGATGATGATAATAATAATAAAGAATTAGCTGATATCAGATGTTTTCTCCTTGGTTTCTGCTTGCCCAGGTCTGACTGGTGCAGCTTATAATTAGTCTCTGCTTGCAGATGTGTGGTTCCAAAGACTTGTGGATTAAAGAGAAACTCTAGAATTTCTCAGTACCTGACAAGTTGTAACGTGAAAAGCTACACTTAGTCCATTAAAGATTTTTCACAGTGACATTTGAGTGCAGCTTGAGAAATATGCCACCTTGCCATTTATCATTTTCAGGGCATGGGTGTCGGAAAGGAGTTTGCTATGAAGAACAAAACAAAATGGATTGCATGTGTAGAGAGGTGAGCTGGCGAATACTGATAAATGTACTTCACTGAATGTCAGCAAATGTCACTTGAGAAGCCATTTGCAGCTACCGTAACAGCCTCCCAAACCCAACAAAGAGTAGCAAAAACGGGCAAAATGAACTGGGCGTCTTGCTTCCGCATGAATAAGCAATCAGCCCTCTCAGAAGTTACACCAGAAAGTTGTTAAACTTGATAGAAGCAGCTTTTTCAACCATACTGACGCATACTATAGATTGCTACAGAGGGCTGGAGACCTTCTGAGGACGTCAGCGCTGTGACTCTGGGCAGAACTTCATAACCCCTTCTCTTCCAGGTAGGTGCCTTCCTTTTGTATGTGCAGCCACTGGCTGTCTCTGAGACATATTTTCTGGGTTTTCCTACACCAGCTTGCTGCTTTCGCTGTGTCTGCAGACCCCTCTACTCCCTATCTACTCCTAATCTACCCTCCCTTGCAGTGTAATCTGGGAGTGGCTGCAGATGTGACCTGGGATGCAGTCCTCACGTGCCATATCAAGAGAAGACTCAACAGAAACACCCTTGAGCCAAAATTTCAGTCTCTCACTCAAGAAAATAATTTTCAATGTGTCTCCTGGTTAATGTGAAAATTGGAGTAATGGACTCAGCTTCTGGTTCATTCTTGGTGACCTGGCCGAAACTTTCCCTCTATGTGATTTAGGATTTCTGGAAGGTGGGGGCCAGTGTTCTTCAGAATTCAGCTTGGGTTGAGATGTTCCTCTCTTCCTCCTCAGCTTAGTGAGTCTCCAGACTTTGCTGCAGAAAAGTAAATGGGAAAGAAGATCATATTCTCAGAAAAGCTCTCCAGGGAATGTGAGACTAATTAAAATAAAATTCCAGCTCCTCTTCATTTTCTAATCTCTGGGAACTCCTCCTCCTCTTTAACACATACGAGGTCATCCAATACTTTTTTCCTCCATTATACCAAGAGACTTTAACAGAGTAGCCTGAATTTGTCTGGCCTTGTGAAATATACCACACACATGCACGCACGCACGCACGCACGCACACACGCACGCACACACACTGCCCACACAAACTGAGGTCAGTTCAGCTTTCATTGGTGCAATGCTGTGGTACAGGACTCAGATACAAGAAGCTCTTTGTTGAATGTACATCTCAGACTGTGTCCCTGAATGTGCTAATGGACACACTTCCCTCTTCACACTGTTCTGCCATATGTTTAGCCTGTGTACATTGGAAATGAACACATTTACAACCAGGAAAAGATGGGCTCTTGGGAAAGTGAGCTTCCCTCAGATGAACTCGGAGGGGTGGTGCAGGAAGGAGGGGTTGGAAGCTAGCTCCTCTTCAGTCAGACTCCTTGCAGAGTTCTTAATTCTCTTGGTGTTTCCTCCTTTCGAATTAGGTGCTTCCCATGGAAGGGCCTTTACTTGGGTCTCAGGAACTCACAAGCCATCTGCTTATTATTGAAATTGAATTACCCTCAACCTGTTGACTTTCACATCAACAAGTTTAGTTTAGGAAGAAACAGTGGCATGTTTAGGAGAGAAAAAAGGAGAAGAAGATGAAAGTCAGATCTCTGGATCAGCGGTGGAGGTGAGGGAAAAGTGGAAGAGATCCTCCAGGGAGAATGAGATGTGCAATGTTCTGCTTGAGGCAGGACCCATAATAGAGCCTGGCAACACTTTACTCAGTTAAGGCACTTTCTGAAGAGCAAATCTCTGCTGTGTCCCAGTGTGGATTGCATGTCCCAGACCCAAAAAGCTATTAAAGCATAAAAACATGTTCTAAAGAACAGACAATGTGGGTACAGATTTCTCATTGTGCCAGTATTATTTTCTTAGTTGCTGTAATTTTAAAATTTGTGTTTTAAAGCTCAAGCTAATAAGCATCTGTTCCCTGGTGTGAAAAGAAACTGTTCATAATTGATTAATATCACACGAATCCTGTAATTGCTGGAGGCTAGAGCTATGTAAAATCCTACCTTCCTATTGTTTTGTCTTTAAAGAACAAAAACAAAAACCTTGTCGTATAGACAAGGGTAGCCAATATTGTCTCTTTCAGTGAGAAAAAGCAAAGCTGGTTTGGGTGAGGTACTTTACGCACTAATTAGTGGCAGTAGCAGGTTTCCTTGTTTTTAATCCAGAAGCTGTTTACAGTGGATTCTTCTCTGCTCTATTTAAAAACCTAACAAGCCCCCTTTAACCATTTTGCATTGTGGGATGTTTCAAACAAAATGTTAAATTGCTACCACAAGAGGAAGATTTGTTAAAATACAAAACTCCTTAGAATTGCAGTAATCCCCTCATTCTTGCAAGAATGTAAACAGGACATCAGTTCAGGGAACATTTGCCCATGGAAAAGTCTCCTCTGAGCAAGAAACTTCACCCACTGCATGGTAGCAATGGGCATCATTTAATCGGCTCTAGACATTCCCATCTCAAACTGAGCTCCCCTGTCCTTGAAAGAGTGGAAAGATACATTAAAGTGGGAGATTAATAAGCAAATTTCAGGTTAACGCTGCAGGCAGGCCATCCTAAGGAGAAATGTTTAGAGGAATTTATTATCAGACTTCCATGTAACATATTCATTCATTCAAGTAGGCACTTTTAAATGCCTACCTTACGTCAGACCTGACATAATATCTTACCTGGATAGCAAGTTTGTTTAGAAGTCATACTCTTTGCCATCTAGAATCACACTCTCTATGCTCAGCTCAAACCCCATCTCTTCCAGGAAGCCTTCTAAGATTTCTCCCATGGTTGTGCCCAACCAGGACACCCATAAAACAGCATTGTTCTGTGCTGTCCTGAACTGGGTACATCTTTCTCCCCAACAAGTGTTAGTTCCTTGAAAAAAGGGTCTCTATCTTATCTCTGCATCACTGAGATAGTCTTTCCTAATCTACTCTTTAAAATGAGATTTAAGGCACTGAAAACCGGGTTATCTCTCACTCACACTGAGATCTAAACCACTTTGGTGTGAATACATGGGAAGCAGCCTTCTCCTCCTTGGCTACTGATAGTGTCTGGATTCAGTATTCAATGAAGGTCGTACCAACGATGTAGGTTGGGAAGGAAGTGGATGGGTCCATCTGGATAATCTGGGTGCCATGCAGGAAACATCAGACTGGTTAATTTGGAGGAATAGGAGCTGAATTATCCAAACAATTGTGTAGATGCAGCCTTTGCTGGCAAAGCCATTTTCCCCACCTCTGTATCAAATATGCTTTAGAGATTTGGGAGTTGACACCGCATCCAGATATAGTGGGAGAGAAATGGAGAACATTCACATTTTGCTCTACAGTTGCCAGCCTTGAGGCATCCAAGCTTATTTCCTACTAAAGTAACTTATACTATTTCCCAGTGGGGAGAGTTTGGTGTAGGAATCATTACATCTTCCCTCTCTTATTTCTGCCCAGGTAGTCACAGGGGAAAGAATACCTAGCCTCGCCAACCCCATACAGCCAATTTTATTGAAATCTAAGATTTTGCATGAGATCTGCACATGTTAATGACTTGTGATGAAGAGATTTTCATTTTTAAATCAGGGATTCAGAAATTCCCTTCCTTCCTTGTGATGCCAATTATTTTCATGTGGGCCTTTCAGGGAAGAATCTTTAAAAGTTTCAATCTTTTAATGCAAAGAGTCCCCCAAGCAGGCAGAATACATCCTGTCAGAGCCAAATGTCAGGCCAGAAGAACCTGTGCTTCGAGTCACTTGGCAAATGCACAGAGTTTAACAAGCTCTATTTTTTTCCCTTAAAAATACACAAAACTCACTTAACATAATTCATAGTAACCCTTTCTTATTTCAAATATTTCATTTCAGTTCCTTAAATTGTTGCCCTGCCCAATTAGGGGGGAAAAATCTGCTTTCATTTTAAGAAGCAAAATATAAAGTTTCTAAAAGTAAGGATAGCTGAAAAGTTTTTTCCCCTCTTAAACTGACATTCAGAAAAAATAAATTTCTATATTCATTTACTTCTGATGTGAGAGCAGCAATGCCACCTTTGTTCAAAGAAAGTTTTTGAAATGATACAAATCTCTATGTGCTTGTTTCTAGAATTAATACCCATCTGTTCACTGTAGCGGTGGGATTTTCTACTAGGGGAATCCGCATTGGGAGAAGTATCCCCGCCTTGGGAGCATTTAAGGAAATTTTAATATCCAAACAAAAGCAGTATTACCATCACTACCCACTCCCTCCCTTCGAGGAAAAACAATTAATAATTTGCATATGCTCATGACACAAATTAAAGACAAAGGGCCCCTCACAGGCCGTGGGCACTACACACCACTCCGCAGGCTGCAGAGTCCCAGCGCCGAACGGTTGTAGCTTCCGAATGAATAGCATTAAGCTGCACCACTAAAGCGAGGTGTTCTAGGCCCTCTGGCCCATTCCCATCAGAGAATCGAGTTTCCCCAATCAGAAACATCGCCCAATCTTTCCGTAAGCTTTTAGGGGGAAAAAAAGAACATACAGTTCCAAGGGGGGAAAAATACATATATACTTTGCCCTTTTTATTTTAATAGCCAAACATTGTAATGCTAGCTAAATAGAAATTCTTGTCTGTTAATAGGTTCCTTTAGTTTGTAATAAATAGGAATGCTAATGACTAAAATTTAGTATTTGGTATGCATTAGCTTTTGTGAGCTTTTCTTTACCGTCCTCATTGACATGCAATATGGCAAGCTTCCTTTGAAACATATTTATAAAATAACTACAGTATAATTAAACCAACAAAGCCATCTTTTAAGTAAGCTTAATAGCACAGGTTTTTTTTTCACCTCCGTAAAATTTACTTTAAAAAAGAAAAATAGTTATGCCTGAATCCCACTGTATATTTTATTCTGTGCATCTAATATTTCCTTTGCATCTACAATCTATGCATATCTAATTCTTTCTGACAACTATGATTATTAATAAAGTGCTTGTGAAAGATATGCTTCATAGCTTCTTCAACAAGAATAATGTTTTTTTGTTAATGGAAATTGTAACATATCTTGACAGATACAATATATAAGATGTGCTTTTTTCTTAATTGTTAATATTGCTGTGCTGAATACACAAGGAGCAGATCAACAGATATGGCAGGTAATAATCAGAGTGGATGCCATTTTATACAATGTAACTAAAAATATTTTAATGATATAAAAGCAATAGATAAATAAAAGCAATTATGTTTAATTTTGCTTTTGGTGTGCCGGCAATTTTTGGTTGTTGCTGCTGTTGCCAGTGCGTTCAGTAGAGTAGGAAGCTGGAAGCGCAAAGCAACCGGACGGAGGCGGCTCTGCCTTCTTGCAGCCTAAGGGTCCTGCAAGCCGCCCTTTCTCTCTCCGCAGCTTCAGCGATCCAGGCTCGCAGGGCCCGGCTGAATGTTAATTTGGGATACACAGGAGCTCAAGTTCACTGAGTTTTCCGCAGTTTTGCAAATCCTTTTCCCTCTCCCTATGCCTCGCGGTTTAAGACCACGCGATTTCCCAAAAAGAAAAACTCAAAAGATACCAGGCGCCGGGCTGGAGTCACTTAGAGCCAGCTCTGGCTGCTCCTCCGCTTCCCCGACCCCGGCCGCCGCTCGGCCCTGCCCCTCGCGCCTCGCCCCCTTCTCCAGAAACTCCGTCCTCACCGCCTTGCCCCCAACCCACCCCCCGCGTGGAGAATAAACACAGTTGACATCACTCTTATAATCTTTATTTAAAACTGTTTCCAAGGTTACAAATTGCCGAGCCTCGTATGCAACAGGTTCCTCCGAAGCGGTATCATTACAGATTAACTGTAATGTGTAGGATTAGAATAAAAGCATAAGGGATTAGGTAAAGGGCGACGCTCGAGACATAACGCCCGAGCGCATCTCGACTGAGTCAGCCGAGGGAAACCGGGAAGGCGCAGGGTGTCAGGGCGCCATGGCGCCGCCAAGCCGGACTCGGTTCCTCCGCTCCCGCTCCCAGCCCCGGCCCCAGAGCGGTCAGGACGGCGGCGCTGGAAGGGCCAACGCGGCCGAAGGTTTTGCAGCCAGGCTTCCCGGGCATCAGGGGCTAGGGACGGGTCCCCGGAACTGGGGAAGATGAGGGGCTGAGAGGCCGTGGAGGCGGAAGGCGCGGGCACGCCACGGCCCGGCTGGGAGCTTCGGGAGCGCCGCGCCCGGGACGCAGTCTCCGAGCGGTATGAAGCGCAGGGAAGGCGGCGAGGGAACCCGCACACCCGCACGGGGCATGTGGCTGACACTGCCTTCAAGGCCCAGGGGTGATGGGGCCCTTCCGGGCGTCCTCCTCACCCCCACTCCGCCGCGCCTCCCCTGTCCGGCTGGGGCTGGGGACAGCGGCAGGGGATGGGCAGCCGCGCAGGCCGCCCGCATCCTTCCGAGCCCAGGCCTCGGGCCTTCGCCGCCCGCCCAGGCCGTGCGCCCTATTGGACCACCTTCCCGCCGGCCTTCGCCTGCCCCTCTCGCGCCAGGAAGGCCCTGGAGCTCCCTCTCCCCTCACACCGCTTCCTGCAGGGCCAGGGCTCGCCGTGCTGGCCCCATTTGGACTCAGGCCTGCCCTGGGCCACGGCCTCGGGCCGCTGACGCAGCCCCGAGGGCTGTTTGCGTGTCGGAGTGGAGGGCGCGGGGCTGGAAAAACAAACAGGGCCGGGGCGCGGAGGCTCGAGGTGGGGGCCGAGGGGGCTGGAAGGAAGTGCGCAGTGTGGCGAAAGCGCGAACAAAGCCCTCTCGGGAGCCTCGTCACCCCTCGGTGACCCCAGGCCCGTCCCGCTGAGCCGCGGGGCTCCCGGGCCTCGCCTCCGAGCAGGCCGCACCGCTCGGTGGGCGAACACCAGGCCTCCGCGGCCGCCCGGGCCCGTGCTCCCCTCGGTCCCCACAGGCCGAGCCCACAGCCCGCCCGAAGGCGCGAGGGACAGCGCGGCCGGCGGTGGAGCCTCACCCATCCACGGAGCCCACAGAGCGAGACTGAGGACTCCATGTTATTGTCCGTCGGGAAACCGGGCTACTCTGGGGCGCGCTGGAGCCACCACTCTGCCAGCAGCCGGGGAAGGGCCGATAGGGCTCCCAAGTGGACGGAAGTGGCGACCAACTTCGCCGCGACTCCTGCTTCCTAAAGAAGGGCCTTGGTTGAGGAGGCGGCGGGAGGGGACTGTTGCAAACAGCTGTTCCTCATACATATTTCATTACACAATCAGATAATGCGTCCCACCACCTTCTCAATTATTCACAGATAAACATTTTCAAGACGTTTTGACATCTGTCTTAGTGCCTGCTATTAATTTAGTAATCACTGTAGTTAAAAATGTATGGGATTTTTGCCGTCGGAGCACCTCCTATCCGGCGCGCGGGCCCAGTGTGGGACTGTGGCTGGGAGCCCGGGCCCTCCGGGAGTGAAGATACCTTTGGAGGTGAGACGGCCTCTATAGCGCGTTGACACTGTTGATGGAAGGGATTAAAGGAGTATCAGGTTATTTTAATTTATTGTTGAAGATGATGACTGCCCCCACCCCCACCCGCATACCCTCCTCACTTTCCCACCCCAACCCTAGACCCGACAACACGGTTCAGCCCTTTGCCCCGGGCAGCGGAAATGGTTAGCTTCATCTAGGAGTTTGTGCTGAGGAAGGCGCAGGCAACCCTAGTCGGCGTAGACAGAGAGAACCGCACGCAATCACTGAGCACGATTTCTCCCAACAAAAAAACTAACAATAATAGCGACCCACGCTCAAGAGGTCTCAAACCTCCGAAGTTTTGCCCCAAGCCTTGTGGCCCTGGCAGAAGTGACAAGGGCATTTGGGAAAGACAGAGAAAAATAAACTCGCTCCAGTGGCTGTACACGGGGCATTTGGGGCTATGAGAAAACGAGTTGCTTTTCTGCTTGAGTGATAAATGTTGCAACAGGCATAGCTATGTAGACGCAAACAGTTTTTAAAACCAGAGAAGCGGAGTTTGAAGAACCTTGTAAGGCTGAAAATAATAGCAAACATTTCCAACTTCAGGATGTTGTGATTGTTGGGAAAACTCTAGATAAATTACCCACACGGGGGAAATACTCAAAGGTAAACGAGTTTGTGTTCTGAATCTCAGCTGCCGGGAATGAAAGTTACACTTTGAGTTTGAGAGTGATGTCTATTTGTTTCTCTTCCTTCTGTCACAGTCTCTTTCCCAGGTGAGTTAGCAGGTGGACTTTGATTTTTAAAACAAGGAATTTGGGAACAAGGAAAAACAAATCTGGTGAAAGAAAATGGCCCTGGAAGAAACTGCCCTTCCAACGAAGATTTAAGTGACTCCAAAGTGATTTTCACTCTTTATTGTTCAAAATATCCACAGGAACAAACTCGCTAAAATGTCCAGGAATTAACTATCTAGAAAAAGAGAAGGACATAGTGTTTGCCCCCAAAAGAGAAGAAATTCACACCCCCATACTCTTCTGTTTCTAGGACAACTACATCTGCAGAAACATGTCCTCTTGTGGTGTTTTCCGGGTGGTTCATTTCTTCTTCACAAAGTGGACCCTCCTCTGCCCCTTGGAGGGTGGTCATCCGAGTTGCTGGCCCAGAAAGTCCTTTTCTTCCACCTTCTTTGTCTAAATGAATCTTCTCGGACTTACATTCCACTTTCAGATGAGAGAGGGAGGCTCAGAAGATGTGCTCAAAAGAGAGAAAGTTGAGAAGGGAGGTGAAGTGGAAGTGAGGGCACCCCTGCTCCCAGGGAGGCTGCCTCTGCTGCAGGAAACCCGGAGGTGGCCACTAGAACTGGTTAGGCCAAGGGAGCTCACAGTAAAAACAAGCCTATGTAGAGTAGTTTCTCAGGCCTTGCCCAAGAGCCACTCTGGAAACCCCTCTCTGCAACCCCCCACCTCTGCCCTGGACACGGTGCTCAGCCAGAGACCAGACAGCAGGGGGTGAGGACTTCCCAATATATCACACAAAAAAAATTTAAAATGACCTATGTAATTTGGTTGACTCTTAAGTGTGTTCTTTTGCAAATATATTTGACATACAGGGTACTGGGGTGGAGATGGGGGCAGGAGGGTGTGGATCCGTGTGAATGATCAAGTTTAGGATAAGAAGGGTGAAAGGGGCAAAATAAGGGCCCTTCAGCTTCTCAGGGCATGGTTAGAGCTAAATGTTCCTATTAAGAATTATGAATCTCCCAGCAGTGAGTGAGAACTTGCATGCGCTCCACCCAAATCCTTTTTCAGAATGCAAACCCCTAGGTCAAAAATAATAAATAAACAATAAAAACAATCTCGGTCAAAATGAATCTTTCCTGGATTGTCCTTTTCTGGGTATCTCCAACAGAGCTGAGAGGAAGGCTAAAAGGTTGGCTCTGGGTGGATAAGGCCTTGGTTCTTTCTAGTGGCCAGGACTTGACCTGAAACCTTTCCCCCAGTCGGCTCAACAAAGTTTCTCCCTCCGAGCCAACGTCCCTCTAGCAGGAAGCCCCCTTGGCCTTGCAGCCTGCGTCCTCATTCTGCGAACTCTCCCCGTTCGCGGCTTCCTGTACATCTGCCCTTGTGGTTGGGGTCACTCCTCGCGGGCACTGTGGTTTTTGTCTGCATCTGGACAACTGGGTGTGCACCCGTTCATTCAAATAATTATGCCTGTGGACACTTTATTCCTCAAATTCCTCTATTAGTGTTCCTTTAATTCTCCGATGTGTATTCGGGTACAATTGCCTGTACGTTCCAGGCATAGTCAGGTGACTCAGCTTGAGTCTGAGCTCAAACGTGCGCGACCCCATGTCTGCATGGGGAGGAGGAGGTGTACACGTGCAAATGCGGGACTTTGGGTGGAGTGTGAGGTTGATATGGCTTTCGGTCCCAGGGCGCTCTAGGCCCCTCTTAAATACTTTCATCTGCCCAATTTCTTAACCTTTCAGGACAAGGAGGGAGACCCTCCGCGATCCTGCGCCCTGCCACCCTTTGGGAAGGATAGGACCATCATCTAGGACGTCTCCCGGTGGACTGTGGCTGGGCTGGGCTGAATGGGCGGGCGGAGGTCTCCAGGTCTCCTCCTTGCTCTCGATTGCCCCCATCACCCAAGCCACCTCGAGGTCGAGTGCGCCCTGGGGCTCTGTCTGGGGAGGTCATGGCGTCTCGAGGCGAATGATATGCACGTTTTGGGGCAAAACTCTCCTAGGCCTCCCAGGAGCAGCTGTATTTGTAACTTGGAATTGGCCTGGGCCCGCCTCCCTTGGCCCCTCCTCCAGCCCCTACCTCAACAGGCAGCGCTCAGCGGGCTGCCAGAGTGCGCTTCCCGGACCACCCCCAAGCACCCTGGGACCTCACCACCCCTCAGGGTCCCTGGGGCATCCTAGGGGCCTGGATCTGGAAGAATGGGGGCCAACAAGAGTGGCCAGGGCTCTCCTGGGGGCGGTTTTGCCATGTATTCCTCCGCTAGAATTAGCCTTTCGGGGCCGCGCGCCTACAGGTTTCAGAGGCCAGCGGGAACGCTGGCCACGGGTGTGTGGGGGTGAGGGGTGTGGTGTGTGTGCACGTGTTCGCGCGCGACTGGAAGCGGTTCCTTGTGCATTTCTAGAATCTTGTAGATGTGTTTTCTCGTGAGAATGATGCGGACTTACTGCTAACTTCAGGTCAGTTTGTTTGGAAAGGGAGAATGTCAGTCCGATGGTCGGTGGTTGTGTCTCTCATGAGCATTCGTACGTACAGAGTGAGGCCACCTCCCCTCCCCCATGCAGTCTCCCAGACCTGGTCAGAGGACCCAGGCCCCAGGTCGCTGAGGCCCTTGCTGTGCGCCCTGGTGCTCTGATCCTAAAGCCTAAGCTACGCCGTGCCCACTTAGGGTCAGGGTGGAAAGCCTACGCGGGAAAGGGGGACCTGGAGAGCTACCCCCACGTCCATGGCAGGGTGGAGTCCCGACCTTGGCATATTGGGCCTACCCACTTGGCATCTCCCTGCCCCGACCCCGTCTGGGATCCGTATTGGCAGTGCCAAGGGAGGGAGGAATGGTAAGGGAGTTGGGTCGGTACAGGACGGAAGTGAAGATGGAAAGAGAGAAAAAATAAACAAAACTAGGTAGGGACAAGGAGATGGGTGAGGCTAGGGTAGGGGTGGAGTTGGTGCTGCCTTGGAGAACAGCGGCTTTTCACCCTGCTATAGGGAGTTGTGTTTGGCTGAGCTGCCCCCCCCCCCAATAAAGCTAATGATGTAGTAATTTAGGAGGGGGAGAGGGGCTGGGCAAAAGGAGAGAGGGGAGAGGATGGGGAAATGCGCGCCCCAAGAGCGAAAGCAAACAGCTGTGGAGGCGCTGCCCGCGACTCAGGCTTCCCAACAGGTTAGCTATACTGGGATCCACCCGGCATTTCGCAGGAAGGGGTGGGGGGAAGACAGAGCGAGAGGGGGAGAGAGCCTCACAAGAGGACAGAGGGAGGGAGGGAAAGAGAGCTGGGAGCCAGAGAGCGCACCGCGCGGCTTAAAAGGAGAGACTTACTAATGAATATTTATCCGCCGCTGCTCGGTGCTCCCGGCTTCCCTTACCTTTCTGCAGGTAAGATCCTCCCTGTGCCCCAGCCCGGGGGGCCCTCCTAGCTCCTCAATCGGGGTGCCTGTGGCTGGGCGGGAGGGCTCTCCGTCAGTAGGGGTGGGAGGGCGGCTCTATTCTGCGTTCACTCTGGGTGCCCGGGCATGCGACCCTGCACGACTAGGAACCGCGTGCGTGGGCTCCTTGTGTGGAATAAGCGTGAGCATGTAAGAGTGTGTTTGTGTGTGTATGCGAGAGAGAGACAGACTATGCGCCCGCAAGCAAGCGCGCCTGTTTCTGGCGCGCTCTGGAAACATTTTCCGACTTTTCACTCGGACGCCCTGGATTTCTCGCCTTTGCCTTTCTCTGCTTCCCCTCCCCCTTCTCTCGCCCTCCCCTCCCCCACCCCGGTCTACCCCACCCTACCCCACTCCTACCCCGGCTGCTGAGGCGCTCTTCTGCCGGCTATTGTACGGCTGGCGCGGGCTCCCCTGGGCCGCATCCCAGGCCTCTCATACAAGATGAATAGTTCTGTTTCCGCCGTAAACCCCCACACAAAGGCTGCCCGGCCACCGGGTCCCCTGTCCCCCTTCCTGGGGACTTCGGCTTTTGAGGTGCTGCGGCGCGTTGTTTCTCCCTCCCTCAGGGCGCCAGGGCCCAGACCAAGGAGCTAAGAGTGATCGAGACTTGGGGGTACCGGGTGGAACTCCTTGGGGGCCGCCCGCCAGGCTTCCTGGGCTGCAACTCGGAGCCCAGAGACCCCCAGGGGAAGGGCGCCTCTTCCCCCACCACCACCCCAGCCTTCGCCTGCGGGAGGAGCACGGGGAACCCGGCCCAGCCGAGGGGGAAAGAGGGAGGGGAAAAGGAAGAAGGTCGGGGTGGGGCTGACCTTATAACCAGAATTCTTTAAACGGACTTACCCGGCCACCTGTTGAGAATCCATGTGGGGTCGGCAGGCTCCGGAGTTGCGCAAGGTGGACACACAAAACCAAAAGCCGGAGTTGGAAAAAGAAAATTCTTTTTCTCACCGGCCGTCAGGCTCTCAGCTCCGCGCTAGGATCGGGTGGCTGTACAACCAAGATCGACTTTACCCTGTCCCCCAACGCCCCCCTCATCCCACTGCTCCACGGCTGGGAGGCTCGGGACTCAGAGCTCTCGGACTTGGCGCTCAGGGCCAGCACCAGCAGCTCGGCTTAAGCCGGGGCAGGCTCTCTAAGCCCTGCTCAGAAGTCAAGAGCAGCAGCTCTGCTGCTCCTCGCCGCCTTTCATGCCGCGGCCGCTCCTTATTCTTGTGCCTCGGCCTCTCCCGGCCCCCTCGGACAAAACCCCCAGAGCCCGGCCACTCTCTTCCCGCTAAATCCCCTTCGGGGTCAGTGCTCTACCAGCACCGGGCCGCGCGCCTCTCCTGCCAGCCGTGTGGCTCTTAAAGAGCTGCACCCCTCCTCCGCCCTGCGCGATCCCCCGACCCCCGCCTCCCCTCCCCTCTCCTCCGGATCTAGCCCCCCACGCCGACGCCTGAGGTCCCTGCTGCCCCGACCGATGCCTGCGGACTCCCAGCCCCCTCCCCTCGCCTCCTCCCCTGAGCAGCCGGTGGGCCTGGCCTCGAGGCCACAGGGCTGAGTTCTACCCTCGCCTCAGGTCCCCTTTCTCACCAGCAGCGCCCACCCCTCTCTTCCCCGCCCCTACTTTAGCCCTCTGGGTCGATCAAGGCCCGGGCACCGCCTGTGCCCAGCTCAGAGGTGATGCCTAAAGATTGCCAGTTTAGGGTTAAGTTAGGGGGTTATGGGATGGGAAATGGGGCAGGGCACGCTAGTGGAGCTAGGGAGAGAAAAAGGAAGAGGAGCAAACGAGATGCCCTTGGAGGGCCCTCCGTATCCCAGGGCCTACCTGGCCTTTTGGCTCCTTCCCACGACCTCCAGAGATGCTCACGCTGGCATGGGGTCCTGAGGTTACCAACCTGACCAGGCCCACTGTATGTCTGAAGGATCCTGGGCATGTTTGTGTTTGTGTGTTGGGGGATGGGGTCCAGAAAGTCCTGAATGTGGATCTGGAGCAGCCTGCTTCCCAAGCCCAGAGCATTAATTCCCCCCAAAAGTAACCCTTAAGGGCCCAAGAGCTGTGTATGCAAGGAGGGAGTGAAGGACCTTGACCTCCAACCGCTCCAGGAAAAGGGCATCAGAGGAGAGGAGAGACAGGAAGGGAAGGAAGGCTACTCGTCCTGAGCACTGAAGCACAGTTTCTAAGAGGGTGTCTTAAATTTACGGGCCAGCCATGTCAGCTGCCCCACTAAGAAAAGGTGAAGTAGATGACTGCTTTGGTTTCCCTTGCTTCCAGAGCTCTGGCTCTCTGCCTCTCTGCCAGGCTGCCAGGCCAGACTTGCAGGGTGGTCCTGCCTATAGTACTTTTTTTGCTAGGCCTCCCTGGCACTAGAAGCCAAAGAAGGGATACCTCTGTTGAGAGGGAGTGCAGGACAGGCTGTGGTCCCCTGCCTTCCCTACTGCCCCTTGTCATAACATGTGACTGGGCTCTGTGAATGGTGGAGGCAATGATGGGTTAGGGAGGGGAGCTGCCCACCCTTTCTCAAATCCAAGTCCTGGCACACCAGGTCTGGCTGTTCAGAAGGGGAACCTTGGGAAGAAGTGTGTGGCCTCTAGGTAGTGGAAGCCAAGGAAACTTGAGGTGATAGGAGGATGGAAGGCTGACCCTCAGCCACCCCATTAGTCCAGATGCACCTTTAAGGAACTGGAGTGATTGATTTGCAATTGGTCCTCTTGGGAGAGGTTGACAGTGCATTCCCTGGGCTGGATCCTTAGACAGCAAAAGCCTCTCCCGCCACCAGCCACCCTCCCCGCACTTCCCCCAACCGGTACGGCTCTCACCTCCCAAGTCTCCCGCCCCTCTTTCTTGGGGCTGGGTCACTGCAGGCATCTAGGCTGGGTTTGTGCCCATCTTCCTGGGCCTGGCAGTGGGAGGTGCCGTGGTTCAAGACAGAGTCAAACTTCCCTTGTTTGAGAATGTGGGGGGTGGGGGTGGTGGAAGGGCCTTTAGAGGGCGGCGGGGCTCATTAGGCGGAGCAGGGTGCGGAGAGGTGCGCGCCGCCGGCCCCTGAGGCCGCCTTTGAGCCGTCGGGGCGGCTTCATTAAGCTGCGCTAACAAGGCGTACAAATGCCGAGCCCAGCAGCTTTCTTGCAATGCCCGGCCTTAGCAGGGCGCCGGACTAATGAGGGTCACTCAAAGGGGCTGATCAAATATTCAAATTTCCCCGCACGCCAGGAACTTTTATGCATGGAGAAAGTTGAGGCAACTGAGCTGTGTTTACTGTCCGGGGCGACAATTGCTTGGAGCGCCAGTCCCCGGAGGCTAAGGCGGGGGGCGGGGGTGCGGGGAGGGAGCAGTTGTTGTTGTTGTTTTTCAAAGGAAAGTAATCGGGGTCCTTGAAGGGCTTCGCTGCCTCCCCGCCTGCGTGCTGCGCTCCCCTGCGCCCTCCCAGGCCGCCCGCGCCAAGCGCCTCAGTTTGCAGCTTGCGGGGAGGCCCAGACTATGGGCCACCCGGCCAGCCCCAGCCTCCCGACATCCTGGGAGCCGGAAGGGGCGTTGCCCCCCAGGGCAAACCTTCCCCCGGCCTCCTGGGTCGACTGTTTAGAGCCAAGCAAGGCCAAGTGGGTGCAGCTGCCCCAACCCTCCGGATCCTCCTCTCCCGGAGGCCTGCAGACCCGTTGGCTTTCCCTGTAACCCAAAACAAGGAGAGAGTGGGAGGTCTCTCGGGCGTTTTCCAGATGTGGTTTAGACTTTCCCAGTGCTGGGATTGCGGCTGACATTTGTAAATAAATGCCAGTAGGTCCGGGTACAAGGAGAACACTCTCTAAACCCCAAAGACATCTTTTCTCCCTGCCCCACCTGAAGGGATCTTTTCGATCCCCGAGGCCAGGATTGAAGCGGGGATGATGGCAGCAAATTTGTTCTGCACAGGTGACCCGGCCTGTACGGGCGCCAAGTCCCAGATCCCGCAGAGTGGCCAGAGAGCAGAGAAGAGACGTAGGGGATCTGCAAGCTGACCTATCCACCCGAGACTCTCCGCTCTGAGCGACCCAGGGTGCAGGCACCCTCCACACGCCACCTTCTCTAGCAGTCCCCCAGGGTGCCTTCCCAGTCCTCGCACTGCCCTAGAAGTTGCTTGGTTCCCAGACCAGCGAGGAAGGCGGCGTGGGCCCTGGAACCCAAGGTCCCTCTGCTTCTGCTCCACTCCCCAGTGCCCAGCGCCGAGGAATTTGGGAGGGGAAGCTCTGGCGCTCCACAGCCCAGCTTCCCACCCGAACACACACTCAGAACCCCTCGACTGAGACCCTATGGAGCCTGCGCCCACAGCCCGGCCAGGAGCCAGTACGGCCCTCCGCTCTGGGACCAGCCGCCCCGCCTCCCTGCCCTGCTCTGCGGACTCTCAACTTACCGGCTCCAGGCGGCGAGAGTAGTGCTTCAGGCCAGAGTCGAGAGGCGCTGGCGGCGGCTGGACCGCGAGGTGGGCTCGGTGGGCGGCGCCGAGCTCGGCTCTGCTGGGAGGCGCGGACAGCGCGGGATGCCACCCGCCCCACCGGGTCCCGGCGCACAAAGCTACACGCCTAGCTGCAGCCCTCTGCCCTGCTTGGCGCTCCGGAGCCGCGGTCACCACCCGAGCAGGCGGGGTGCGGCGGGGCGGCAGGCTCTGGGGCAGAGGCTAGGGGGGGGCAGTGGGGATGTCGCCAGAGTCTCAGCCCCACTTGCCTCAGTTCTCCCTGAGTGGCGATGGTTTTTGATTTCAGCGCTTTCGCAGAGCCCGCAGCACCTGCCCAGCCTCCCTCCGGGGCTGGCCCGGCAGTGGCAGGGAGAGGCCAGGTCGCCCCCACCCGGAGGCGGGGGTTTCGGGGACGGGGAGGGGACTGACCGGGTTCACCCGCCCGCCCGGCGCCTGGGTCCCTGGCTCCGGGGGATGCAGTTTCGGGGTCACGAGCTGCTTTCAAAAAGTTGAACACAATATTCGGAAACCCACCCGTAGGAATTCTCCCCCCACACGCGGCACAATACCCACTCCCCTCCCCTTTTTCATTCCTTCCTCCCCCGCTTCCTCCTCCTGCCCCTTCCCCCTCCCACCCTTCAGCCTATAATCCTTCCCCTACGAGAGAAAGGGATCGGGAAGAAAACATGAAGTGTCTGTTTTTGAGTCCCAACCTTTGGGCTCTTTCTGGGCCCTCAGTGAACGACCGCCCAGAGCATCTCAGCTGCATTGGAGGAGGACTCATGGCCGGGAGGGGAGGAAATATATGTGGAGTGGAGAGAGCACTGAAATGGGGCTTGGCAGGAGTGGAGAGAGCACTGAAATGGGGCTTGGCAGGTCTTCCCTTTGGAGGAATATTTTTCTGCCCCAGTCGTCGTGTTTAAGACCTGCTACCTCACGGCTGCCTCTGGCTAAGTGAGCCAGTATTGGCCCCTCGCCGGTCCCAGGGCCTCCCTGCCGCCGGAAGCCTCCAAGGAGGCTTGCACTTGCCGGCTTGCTCTTCCCCTCGGCCCTCAGAGGCCTGGCACTGCGGGAGTCAAGGCCTAAGCAGGGCTCCAGCTCGGAGTTTAGGGGCTGGGACACTCGCAGCCCCAGTCACGTTAGGTTTCCCATTTAAATTCTCTCTCAACCTCTCTTTCTCTCTTCCCTCATTGAGATCACCAAAGTGGTGTGGACCCGGCGCCTTGCCCCCAGATCTGCATCGGAATGCAGAAAAGATCTTTTTAAAAAAAAAAAAAAAGTTTTGAATTCCTCAATGATTTTTCTTCTGGAAAGGCAGCTTAGGATAATTATTTCAGCTTTATTGAGGGCAGATTAGTTGAAGTCTGGGCGCTGCGTTTCAATACGCGTTGTACACGGGCCGACAATGTGGTCATTGTTGGCTACTGTGTGTGAATCTATTCAACATATACACTTTTTAACACCAAACCGAGTCCTGTCTAAATATACACAGCGCTCAGGGAAAGACGTCTCTGACCCCGACAAATCTGCGTAAATCACACTTCCATAGTTACAGAAGCCTCACAAAGGGAGGCCCGGCTCAAGATGCTGATTACATCTTCTTAAAAGCAACATACCTAAGAATAAATACCCATGCCTGGCCTGGGGGCTGTAGTGGCCAGAGACAGAGAGGGCCCTCTGTGTTCTATGGGCCTTTTGGGGTGTGTTTTAGGCTTTCAATGTTACTTTCCCTAGAGAAATTAGGCAGTTTTAAAATAATAATGGTAATTATTATTATTTTACAATACGAGCAAACAAGCAATTTCAGGCCTTATTCACTTCATCCGGGTGGCTGGCCTCCAAAGTTTGAGTGCCCTCTGGGGCTGGCAGGCAGGACCAGAGATCCTTCTGTTGTGTGGTGAGGAGTGGGCATCTGTGGGACTTTTCCGGGTCCAGAGGGCTCTTGGGCTTCTCGGCTCCCGCAGCTCCTCCACCACTCCTCACAGAGGCTGCTGAATTCTGGGAGGAAACAAAGAGTTGAGTTGCTTCTTAAGATGGAAAGAACTGTACTGTTTGGACTATTATTTTAAAATGGGTGGTGGGGGAAATCGAGGCTCCTTGGCTGGGGAGGGAGTAAAGAGAAGCCTAACTGATGAAGAGGGAGCTGAGGTGAATGTGGTCCATGGGCACCGATGGGGGAGGCAAGAGCGGCCTCCAGCACCCTGGGAACTGGGCTTAGGCTCCCTGGCGCCAGATACCCTCGGAATCCGGGATCCCTGGCTGGCGCCACGGCCCGCTGGGCCAAGGTCGGTGCTTGGTGGGCCCCATGATCTCATCTCTCCTTTCTTCCTTGCCACTATTAGTGCTCACATAGGCAGAAAGAGGCGACCCGACGTGCAAACCATGTGCAAACCGCGCCCGCTGGGCTGGTCAGCCGTCTTTCCTTGCCCGCCGACCTGGCCTATGTGGAGCCTGGGGGACCCTCTTGCCTCCCAACAAAATCCCCGCTCTAATTGCACATCCCATTCAACAACTCTGTGCCCAGGGCTTTTCGAATTTCTGGATCAACTTCTTTGGGGAAAAGGGAAGAAGGCGGCTCAGAGACAGCGATAGAGAAAAGAAGAGAGAGAGGAAGAAGAGAGAAGAGAGAAGAGAGAGAGGGGAAGTAGCGAGATTAAGAGTTGCAAAGATAAAAAAAATTCTCTTTATCCCCCCCTTCTCCCTCCTTCCCTGCTCTCCCCCTCCCCCCGCCCTCTGGCTAAGTGGTAAAACCGTCCTTACGTTCTCGGTATTGATTGGCAGGGCTGACAGTGATTGGCAGTGGTTGCCGTGGCAACGCCACAACGACACGCCACAGACCAATAGAAAAGCGAAACAAAATGTTTCAATGCTGCACTCACTGTGGATTTAGGGGAGATATTATGAGGCTGTTGTCATTAGGGCGATTGCGGTGGAATCGCTGAATCTTGACTCGGCGGTGGTTGGCTCTCCCTCTCCTCTCTCCCTCTCTCTCTCCGTCTCGGGTTCTCTCTCTGCGCGCGCGCACCGGGCCGCTCTCCTTCCTCCCTCTCTATGTGGCTGCGCGGGTGTGTGTGTGTGTGGATGTGTGTGGGGTGTGGGTGTCCTTTACGCCCTTCCTCCTCCCCCTCCTCCTCCTCCTGCTCCCCCCTCCTTTCCTTCTTCTCCTCCCCCCTCTCCTCTCCCTCCTCCTGGTCCTCATCGCCCCTCTCCTCCTCTTCCTCCCCTCTCTCTTCCTCTCCCTGAATTTTCTCCTCTCCTCTCAGGTCAGTCCATGGTATTCCGCTCCCCCCTAGACCTCTATTCCTCCCACTTCTTGTTGCCAAACTTCGCCGATTCTCACCACCGCTCCATACTTCTGGCGAGTAGCGGCGGCGGGAACGGTGCGGGAGGCGGCGGCGGCGCGGGAGGCGGCAGCGGCGGAGGGAACGGTGCGGGAGGCGGCGGTGCTGGCGGAGCAGGCGGCGGCGGCGGCGGCTCCAGGGCCCCCCCGGAAGAGTTGTCCATGTTCCAGCTGCCCACCCTCAACTTCTCGCCGGAGCAGGTGGCCAGCGTCTGTGAGACGCTGGAGGAGACGGGCGACATCGAGCGGCTGGGCCGCTTCCTCTGGTCGCTGCCCGTGGCCCCCGGGGCGTGCGAGGCCATCAACAAACACGAGTCGATCCTGCGCGCGCGCGCCGTGGTCGCCTTCCACACGGGCAACTTCCGAGACCTCTACCACATCCTCGAGAACCACAAGTTCACCAAGGAGTCTCACGGCAAGCTGCAGGCCATGTGGCTCGAGGCGCACTACCAGGAGGCCGAGAAGCTGCGCGGCCGCCCACTCGGCCCGGTGGACAAGTACCGCGTGCGCAAGAAGTTCCCGCTGCCACGCACCATCTGGGACGGCGAGCAGAAGACGCATTGCTTCAAGGAGCGGACTCGGAGCCTGCTGCGGGAGTGGTACCTGCAGGACCCCTACCCCAACCCCAGCAAGAAACGCGAACTGGCGCAGGCCACCGGCCTCACTCCCACACAAGTAGGCAACTGGTTTAAGAACCGGCGGCAGCGCGACCGCGCCGCGGCGGCCAAGAACAGGTTAGTGGCGGGGCCCGCGGCCTGGCTACAGCCTCAAAGGCCTGGGAAGGGGAGAGGGGTTGAGAAGGGGCTAGTGGAGCGGCCGCTGAGCGTCAGGGAAGCCGTGATTCCTGGCCAGTTGGAGAAAGTTTCCGCTTGTCCTGGGCGCGCGGAAGAGGGGGCGGGCGGGCTGTGGGTGTATTGATTGCTTTGACCAAGAGGGGCTTTCGTCAGGGCGGAGAGTGTGTGCTTGCGACCCGAGTGCCCGCAGCCCCTGATTCCGGCCCCTGGGAGCCTTAGCCCTGCGCTGCACCCGTGCCTGCCTCCTCAGCCCTGTCGCCAGCTCGGCAATCCTCTGGAGCCTGGAGACAGGGAGGGAAGGAAAGCACTCCTTGCCATCTGGTTCTTATTTCTGTGCATTGCAAAACCCCGAGAGAAATCCAGGAGCGTCAGAGAGAGGAAAGTTAACCTGGGTCCCTATCACAAGGGGAAAAGGCCGGAGGCCACTGCACAGCGGGCCTGTTTCCCGCAACGCTGCACTTTGCCTAACCGGGAGCAGGAGAGCCGGGCTGGGAGCGGAGAGGCCTAGTGTGTGTGCGTGTGCATGTGTGTGTGCACGCGCGTGTGCATGTACTCACCCTCCTGCCCCAGCCACGGAGAATGCCTTTGGTCCTCTAAGTTGGGAAGCGGGCAGGAGCAGCCTCGTTGCTGGCAAGTTGGCCACAAAGTCACAAAATTGTATAGGGCTTGACCAACATCACAGGAGTTGGGCCTGGGGGAAGGAGAAAAAGAACCAAAGGGAAAGAAGTGGATAGGGGAAAGGAGTGGGGGGAGAAGGGAGAAGGAAGAGAGGAACTTGGGTGAAAGCCCTGATGTGGAGCCTTGTCTCTATCCAGCCAGGAAGGCCCAGGGCCTGGTGTACCTCAGGGAGCAGGACCCCCAGCTGCTGACAGCTGCCTGTGGGTGGGGGGTGGGTGTGAGTTTCTGGAGGTGTGTTCGAGTTTAGGCGGCGGGGACCTGAGCCCATGGCCCTCTCACCCCTGCTGTAGAGCTCACTTTTCGTCTGATGAGGGGAGCGCCCAGGGTCAAGCCAAGGCCTCCTTGTGGAGATAATTCCAGACACCAGGTCCAGGCAGAAGGTTCCCGGTGGAGGAAAGGGGCAGCTGGAGACTGCTTTGTGCTCCTCTCTTGCCTTCTCTTTTGCCCCTTTGCTGTCTCCCTGCTCTTTCCCCACTTTTCCACCGCCAGCTTTCTTATTTTCTCTACCCTCGGTCCTGCGCTCTGCGCTGGGATCCAGAGAGCAAAGTATACGGTTCTACCCGGAGACGGGCCGGCCAGTGAGGAACCCGCAGCTCCGGGTGTGTGTTTGAGGGATCAGGGACGGGGTTACTGAGGGAACTCGACCGGTCGCGGGGTAGCCGGCTCAGTCTGAAGAGCCCCAGGGACTGCGGAGGGAAGAAGCGCCTGGCTCTCCTCCGACTTCTGCTGCTCCAGGGCTTGCAGTATTTTGCCGCTTGCACCCAGGCCTCCCTAGACGGCCGGGCTCGGGTTCTGCCTCTCCTCCGAGGCCAGTCTCTATCTGAGAAGACTTGGGACGCTCCCGAAAGCGGAGTCGGGAGCGGCGGCTCGGGGGAGCCGGGTGGCGGTCCTCTGTGTCAGGGCGGGCGCGGCTCTCTTTCTCCCGCAGGCTCCAGCACCAGGCCATTGGACCGAGCGGCATGCGCTCGCTGGCCGAGCCCGGCTGCCCCACGCACGGCTCGGCAGAGTCGCCGTCCACGGCGGCCAGCCCGACCACCAGCGTGTCCAGCCTGACGGAGCGCGCGGACACCGGCACCTCCATCCTCTCGGTAACCTCCAGCGACTCGGAATGTGATGTATGATAGCCAAGGCCGCCCTCCTCCCCCTCCTTCCCCTCCTCCCCCACTCCTTCCCCTCCTCCTCCTAGCCCTCCTCCTCTTCCTCCTCTTCCTTCTCCTCCTCCATCCCCAGAACAAACCGAAATCAGGATACCCAACCATACACACATACAAGTCCACACACACTCCCACCCCAGCCAAAAATATATTAAAAAACAAGAAAATAACAAATTAACCACAAACTATCAACAACCCCCAACCACCATCTACCACTACGGCCACCCCAAAGGACCCCGACGCCAACAGACAGTCAAACGCTGATGTTGCGGGCAGACAACATAAAAGAGGTGACAATTGTATACTTTCTAGGACAAGCACGGCTTCTCCTTTCGGTTCCCATGGACCCGGCACCCCACCTGCATGACGATTTATTTGTATCTGGGAAAATATTCTCTCTAGTTAAAAATGATTTAAAGAGTCGACTATACAAAAACCAATCACCACCACGAGGACAAGAGGACAAAAGCAAAACAGACAAAAAGAAAAAAAAAATCGCCATCTCCGTTCCGAATTTGTTAAAAAAAAAAAGAGGGGGGGGGGAAGAACTCCTGGAGAGGGAAATAGCAAATGTTTCTCGCCTTTTGTTGCTCTCTCTCTCTTTTTTTCTCTCACTCTCTCTCTTTCTCTTCCTCTCTCTGTTTTTAAGTCCAAGTATTGGTCAAACAAAATGCAATCTTCTGTTTTTTGTTCAGCAGACAATCATTTTCTTCGTAAGCACCTTTTTCTCTCCACTCTGTCACTGCCTGTGTGGGTACTGGTTATAAATGTGGAAAAAGAATAGTTATGACTGTAACAGATTTTTATTTTTATTTCAAAATTTTATATGAATTATGTATATCTTAATGATCGGTCATTTTCCCAGTTTGTAATATATGTGTAGAAATTGCCTGTATATGATATTGCTTTTTTCTCCTCTCCCTTTCTCTTTCTCTCTTGTCCCTCTCTCTGTCTTCCTCCCTGCTCACCTGTCTCTTTTCTTTTTGGGATTCTCCTCCCACTCAGTGCTCCTGGTGTCGTCTTGGCAGTCAAGAAGAGGCATGGTGGCCTGGGTTAGGAAGAGGGACCCCATCGCTAGCAAAAGCGGAGAGTGAGATTGTAGTATTCTTATGCAAAAGCTATTTCCAGTATTTCTTAGCAGCTTCAGAGGTATCTCTCACTCCCTGTAGGGCGCTTTTACTGTTATCTTAAACTGCGTGTTTATCTATATGTAAAAACTTTCTAAAGCAAATACAGTATTCTCCATTTTCTTATCACTCCCAGAGACTGGTGTTTTTGTCCGCCCCTGGCCCGTAGCCGCGGGGTGCTCGGCCTTCACTTCCACTGCTGCTCACCTGAGCTGGGGCAGAATTTCAAGGCTGGATGTCAGCCCTTTTTTTTTTTTTTTCTTCCCCCGAGGGCATTGGGAAGATCAGAACAGACCCTCCGGAAAGGAGCCAAAGCTGGATCCTGAGCAAAAAAGCAAAGAGGGTTCGAGGGTTGGGAGCGGGAGGCTACCGCCAGCTTCTTCAGAGTGAGATGCCAGACTCACTTCACCGCAGTATGCATTCAGCCGGAATTGTAGCCTGCCAAGACCCTGTGGGTCTTTGGGGGTGTGCTGGGCGTCTTTCAGTTGTTGTTGCTTTGTTTTTTAAAAGAAGAAACATACAAGGTCGCCAAACCCCAGCATCCATCCCGAGTAGAGCTGACAGGTTTTGTCGTCTTTTCTGGGGGTGGGGTGGGGGCGGGGGACAGTGGCCTGAGTGGGGAAGGCAGGAGGAGTGAGGGAAGAGGCCTCTTGAGAGTTTAGGGCCTGGAATCAGGATGGACTCCCCTCCTTACCTCCTGAGTGTGTGTCTATGTGACAGTGTGATTTGCCTTACGACTCTCTGTCTCCCTGAAATTTCCTTCCATCTTTGGGGTTCAGCTGGAACCTCTTGAGCCCCTAAGACATTTCAGAGTTGATTTACATTTTAAAATGAAAACCAAAAAATCACCACCTCTTACTAACCATGTTCCCACTGGCCCCAGGCCTCCAAGCCCTGGGCAGGGCCCCCACAATCCCCTGGGATGGCTTGGCTGGCCGTGCCTCTGCCGCTCTGGGCCAGGGTGGCCTGCACCCAAGGAGGAGCAAAAGAGGTAATTTCAGACAACTTGCCTTTACTTGAAAGGCCAATTTCCAAAGCATGGAGAATTAGGGGGGAAACGTGCCTGGAATTTTGCGTCCATTTCCAAACTAATTTTGACTTCCGATTTCCTTTTGTCCCCATCCCCAGCAGCGCCAGGGGGTTTAGGAGGGCCAGGCTGGGCAGAGAGGCTGTCTGGCCCAGAGGTGCCCTGAGTGTTCCAGTGGGACCTTGCATGTCCGGGGCGTGCATTTGGCAGACAGGGAAGGTTCCTGAGCGTGCCCCTACTTAGAACCAGAGCATCCAGCTGACCTTCAGAGCTCCCAAGTTCTGTGGCCTGGCACATGGTGTCAGAATCTCTGTGTGTGTTCACTGCTTGGGAAAATGTTCCTTGTCCTGCCACATTTCAGGCAATATTGACCCAGGTGGTAGGAATTTGGGAAAAGGACTGCCTGGATTCTACCCAACTTGAGCCTCTGTTCTGGGATGAGGAGCTCTGTCACCCACCTTTGCTTTTAGATAATCAGTCACATACTTCACACAGAGCTTGGGCCTAGAAGCCCAAAGAAGTGCCTGCCTCAGTGGGGAGAGTCTGGATGGACCCTGCTCAGCCAACTGACCAGAACTGACGGATGAAAGGCAAGAAGTGGCACTGCTGGAGGGTGACTCCTGGAAGGGCCTGCCTAGATAGAGGACATTAGGGAGCAGGTGCCTCTTTGTCTAAGGGACAGGAGACAAGCATGGAAGTTAAGATGATTTCCTATCTCAACACACAGTGCAGAGAAAGCAGATTTGGGGCATCCAGTGCCCACTCCTTCTGCATTGCAGGAAACTGTCCATCAGACTCCACAGCAGCCTTTAGTTTGGAAGGCCTGGGCCTTACTGCGTGTCAGCAGCCTGTTGTCTGTCTATCCTGCTATCTATCATGTATCACACTCTCATCTCCTGTGTTTCCATCCAGGTCTGCACGAATACCAATACTCTATGCTTTGTACTTTCTGACCTTGCATATAAGTTCCCTGCAGGAAAGATGCGTGTGTGTTGTGGGTGTGTATATGTGTGCAATTCTGGATGCTGGGCTTTCAACACTCAGTCAAGGTCTGCATACAAAAGGTTATGTGTGTGTGATGTTTGGTATAAATGTGTGTACAGTGCATTGGTGTGTGTCCAGTATGTTTTCATGTATATTGCATAACATAGGTATTGGTGTATGGCTTAGGCAGTTTCCCTGTCCTTATTTCTGCAAGGAGTGCATATTGGGGGGCTCCAATACACCTACAGGGTACTTGGGCATGTGTCTTGTGGGTCTTGGTTCTAGTGTAGACATATGTGGGTTCCCTTGTTCTAGGCTCTCCCTAGATACGACTGCCAGGCTGCCCACCTCTAACAGGCCTTCCTGTCCCTTTAAGACACAAGGGATCTCAATGGGTATTCATCAGCTAGAGGGCAGAGGGGGATTGGGCTCTTTGGCTATCCCAGTCCATCCTTTATTCTGTTTGATTTACTGGGGATATTATGGTTGATTTGGCCTCTGCTCCTTTAAACATTGGAGTGAGAGAACAGAGGCCCCTTTCTGGCCAGATCTTGCCTTTTACCAGCTGCTGGCCTAGTCTCTTTCTGGGTCCCTCAAAGCCCTGGCCAAAGCGGTCAACACCCTACAGGCCACTCAGACAGAGCTTGAGGGCAAGGCCAGGCTGAAGTTCCACCTGCAGAAAAGCCATCTCAGTCACTGTGCACAGCCCCCACCTCCTGGGAATGTCGCAGGTTGTGCCTCGGCCAGGAGAATGTGTGCATTGGTGTGTGCTCTCTCGTAGGTCTTGTGAGCCTGGGTCAGGCCCAATATGCAGGCCTAAGTGCTAACCATCTGTCCCCTATGTCTGGGCCATGCAGCAGCCAGTAGGCTGCCTTCTCTGCTTCTGGCCTTCCAGTGAGTCCTCACCCACTACCCTGCACGCAGCACACTTCTGCCTGGCATCCCAGCGGAGTGCTCTGGCTCGGAGACTCCCTGCGTGCTTAAGCCTCCTGTGTACCTGAGTCACCTACCCTAAGTTTCGAGAGGCTTGAGGAATAATAGCTAACTTGGCTGTTTTCTCAAAGAAAAATAATGACAATCCAGGATTTGCATTGGAAACCTGAACAGGCAGAATGGGGTGTGAAACTGGGCAAATCTGTATCAAGATCCTTGACCCCTAGAAGTGCCTGCCTGAGGGAAGAGGCCCGTCTACCCCTTCTGGCTTGCTCACTGTCCCCCCACCCAGCTCTCTTCCGTCCCTGCCCCCAGCCCTGGCCCTGAGCCCCCACCTGGCCTCTCTTCTTGCCCTCCTTGAATCCTGCGGAATTGACTGCCCAGTGCCAGTGCAGTTGATTATCCCCGGCGAGACACACAACTGATTAAAATGAAATGACCCGGAAGCTGCCACGGCGCAGGGCGGAGATGCCGATCAATAGTGGGGCTGGAGGCACATGAGTCTGGCCAGTCCCGGCTGGGAATGGGGTTGAAGACGGAGGGCCAGCCTGGGGGGTGCCTGAGACTTTGGGCGTGGAGATGGTTCAGTGAGGCAGTGGGAAGGCCCGTGCCTGGGCTTGCCGAGGGGGCTGTGATGGTGGAGTGGCCCTCAGGTTCTTCTGCAAGGAGAATGGGACAGCCTGGTACATTCTCGACCCAGCGCATCACCCGGGCCCCCGGAGCTCGAAGCCCAGTCCCAGGCCTGTGGCGCACTGGATGCACTCGGCCTCTTGGAGCAGTCTCTTCTCCCTCTCTTCTTCCTCTGCCTCTGTGGCCCTGTCAGTCCCGCCTAAGCCTTTGTGTGGCCGTCACCTGGAGCACCGGCTGTGCCTTGGGCTTTCCCGGGCCCTTCCCTTGTCCTCTCCGTCCCCCCAGCGCTGGGGCTGAGATGCCCGGCCCGCCGGGACGCTCGACCTCCCGGTAGGCGCGCTGAGGCGCCCACGGCTTCCCACAGCTCCGGCCCTTTCCGGCCCCAGCTGAGCCGAAGCTCCCTGGCCCCAGTGTGCGGGCCCCGGTGGCCGTCTGGCCCGAGGGAGGGCGGGGGCAGGCTAGAGGGAGCCATGGAGGAGGGGAGCAGTACTAGTCCGGCTCCGATTTCTCCGGTCAGCTGAGCACAACTTTCCATTCGAGTGTATTCATGCAGCGGCTGATTGAGCTCCACTGTGCCGGGCGGGGCTCGGCGGGAGGGGGCAGGCACAGCCAGGCTGACAGAGGCTACACACACACACACACACAGACACACACACAAACGTATGTGCAATTCATCTCATCTACATAAACATGCCTTCCATGTTATATCACACCTCACCCCCCAGCGGTGCCATCATAAACACAGCCGAGCCCCTTCCTTCAGGCACCTACCTGCCCTCAGAGCAGTTTCCCAGCACCCACAGACCTGCTTCCCTACACAACATAAGGCCTGCCTTTCTGATTTCCCCCTTTTGGATTCTACACCGGTCCTCAGATACAAACACAAGAATCCTTCATCTGCCTCTCCTGCAGGCACACGCTCCAGGATGCACGCACTCCAAATCTGCAAGACGCACGCACAAAATGCCCAGGCTCACAATCACACCCTCCTACAGAGCTACCCAGATTCACACAATAGAAATACACATCTGCATAAAATGGCATTAGCACCAATAGACATTTAGTGCACAGCCTGTTGTACATACACAGTGTGCTGGGGCTCACCAAAAGTTTACACACAAGAAACGGAGCAAATGAACAATAAATCCAGTCAGAGAACACAGCCACTACACAGTCACCACCACAAACACACAGAGGACAGACAGAGGAAAGCTTCGGGCACACACACATACCTGTGAGCCAACCCAAAGACATGAGATATGTCACCCAGAGGCATGCCAACCTCCAAACCACAGAGTTTGACTCTAGGGACTCAGAGACCACCCATTCATTACACGTGCGTACACGCATACACACACACACACACACAAGGCTAGGGCCCCAAAGATAGGTAGGGAACTAGATAAGCATCTTGACAGAAGCATGCCTGCTGTTGGGAGTGAGCAGGTAAACAGAGGCCTCTGTGTTACAATCCACCCCTAAATGCCCATGATATGCTGTTTTGCAGAGCAAGAAGGGAGAGTGAGGAAGAGGGAGATAAATTATAGAGTGGGGA